ACGACGACGACTCCTAGTACGATTGCGATTTATACTACGACTACGACTACTACTGCTGCTACTACTATTACAACTACTACTACCACCATTGCCACTACTAGCACCAATACCAGTACCAGTACCACTACCAGTACCACTACGACTGCTACTACGATGAATAGTAATAATAATGACGTGCATATTGCTACGATTATTTTACAATTTTAAGTAAGAAGATGAATATGGATATTGACACGGGCATTAATGTAATTGTGAATGTTTAAGAATAATGCTGATACTAATATTCAATATTCATATCAACATTTGACAGCTGCAGTCGTATGAAGACTACTGATGAAAGACGCGACAATGCAACCAATCAGCGCTGTACAAGCAAAAAGTGCGCGCTTAATTGCTACAGGCAGCAACAAATCGAACGACACTGCCTTGTCTGCTGCCAAGTAGGTATGATAACGAACTCCCTTCGTCTCAGAAAACGAGCTCCCCAGCTTGCGAAATCACACCTTCATGATTTTTTCATGGCGACGAGAAGCACAACTCAATGGCACAACAGCGGGGCCTAAACCCAAAGCCTGGGCCTTTTCCTTTTTGGGTGCATTACCCTGAACCCAAGGCAATAACCCTAAACCCTAACCGAGCTCTTTTGTGGGTGAATCTCCCTTTACTTTTACGCATGGGATCCTTTAGATCCTGCACCCGAAGCCATGAAAACCGAAACCAATCAAAGAACCCTCAACCCAAACCTAGATCCGGAACCCTAAACCCTAAACCCTAGAAGTTTACAGGCCTAAACCTAGATCCCGAACCCGAAGCCATTAAAAGCCAAGGAGAGAGGCTCTTTGGAACAGGTCGGTTCGAAGAGGGGGTCTGCATCCAGGCCTCCGATGAGTTCCTGTCAGGGCTTTTCCTTAGGGGCTGAGTGCCTAGCCCAAAAAAAAGGTTCACCTTTTCAAGTATGGTAGGGTTATACAAACCCCAAGAGGTTTAAGGTTACCTACTCGGCTACTAAGTAAGAATTTTTAGGTTAAGACGTCCGGAAAGCTGTGGACGTTAGGGTTTAGGGTTGGCCTCAGGCTTCTGGCTTTTAGGGCTTTAGGGTTCAGCATGAAGCATTAGGAGCTCGTTTTAGATTAGGGTTTAGGGTTCAATTCCGGATTATCGTACGTGCCCGTGTACCGAAGAGTTCCGTGAACGAGCTCCCGTTGAGGGTTGAATGATTTGTCTTGCTGCGCTTTCCAGGATTACCACATGGTGGTGGGGGGGGGGGCATATAACCCTCCCTCAATCAAGTGTGACCATCCAGAACAGCTTTTCAGAAGCTTCCGTCTAACCCATAGAGTCGGCTGCTTGGCAGCATTAACTCGGCTCGGAACCGCTAATGATGGATGGGGCATATCCCCCCCCGCCCTCAAAGACACGTGGACCATCCACATGGTGGTTTGGGGGACCTCCATGACGGTAGCATCTATGGATTTTCTGGGCAGGTCTTGTCGGTGGTTTACGACCTCATGGCCTGGTCGCGAGTTCAAGAGTAACCCGTGGCCCTATGGGCTCCCAGTTTAGAACAGACCCCTCGAATTTTCCCCAAATGCCAAATCCCAATCTCAGGCACGAAGCTAAGGCCCCATAGTAATACCCAGGGAGCCCAATACCCCTTAATTAAGCAATATACCTTAAATTATAAGGGCCTGAATGTTATGATTTGAGGTATACTGCTTAATTAAGGGGTATTGGGCTCTCTGGGTACAGCCTCGAAGTCCAGATCTCCCAATCCCTCGCTGCCGCCCTAAAACCCTGGACTAAACCAAAACCGAAACATCGCGACCTGCAATCTTAAAACACCCAAATCCAAACCCAAACCCAAGGGGAACAACGAACACCTCGGGCTTTCGGCAGCCAGGCACGAAGCCTTTGTGTCTCAAGAGCTCTAGGTCTTTCCATATGGGTAGTTCTGTACATTCGGGTCCTTTTGGGGGTCTTTTTACGGGTGCCGTACTATATTGGGCACCTAAACCCTGGACCCTAATTTAGAGAACTACCCATATGTTGTTCAAGTCGCTTGCTTTGAGCTTGAGGGTGTAGAGGTTTAGGGCTGACTCTGTTGTAAGGGTGTTTGCTTTATAATAACTGGAATAGGGTCGTGGGGTATATGATAATATCTGATTTAATTCTTGTAGGGAAGGAAAAAGTGATCGCAATTTTTCCGACCTCTAGACCAACAAGGGGCCAAAAGCAAGACTGACGAATGTAGGTAAGTCCTTGCTTGCAGCCCACAACCTAGCCCCACATTGCGCAAGGAAGGCAGTAATCCGGACCCCTTTGGTACCCTTTCCAAGTAGGCCCTAAACCCTAAACCCTAAACCCTTTAGAGCCGTTCAACATATTCTTTGATAAGATCCATTGAGGCCCGAAGACGGAGACCAAAAAAAGGTGCCACATGCCTTCCTAGCCTTAGTGCTGGCATGCAAAAATTGGGGGGGCTTCTGAAAAGTGAAGAAAGGTTTGGGGTTGAGGGTTTCGGGGTCCCGCTTCAGGGGTCTTATTAGAAAGGGTCGTGCTGTTTGGGCTCTAAACTGGTATAGCGTTTGGAAGCTGTGCGATATGAGTACCCTTGCTTCCTGAGCTCTGCCGAAGTACTTGGGGAGCTACACATGGAGCAACTAGCTACGATTTTCTCTGCAGACTGCTCGCCTAAGCTAGGAAACTTGGGTTGGGATTGCAAACAGTGTGCAACCGTGATGCCAAGCGCACTTCCGAAGCCATCAGGACTGCCCGCGGTCGCACTCATCACGGGCTGCATCATCTTTTCAAAATGCAACAACTCAAAACGGCCGCAAAAAATCTGCCCGTGGACACATATCATGCTGAGAGATTTTAGATAGTGATTGTGCTGTGCAGCAACACATCCTGTACAGTACCTCTCCTTGGATCTGAGCGGCTGCAACAGAGTTGCGTTGGCTGTGGTTTTGTCACACTTGAATGTGCAGAACGTCAATGGATAGGATTTCCGCCCTGCACAAAGGATGTTGGATCCTGGGCTGGCAGACCCCTGCCTCTTGCTCAAACTTCGATCCTAAGCCCTAAACCACAAGAGCCCCACAGGGTTTAGGGATTAGTGTCGTATGTACGTGACATTCACAACACTTTCGGGTCCGCATCCATAAGCCCCTCAGACCCATATCCAAGTGTTTATTAATCTTTAATGACCTTTGGGCTTATGTTACATTATCACAGGTACATCTGTGAACAATCCTTCCTAAGGCAACCACCCAGGTAGCAGGGTCCCTAATGTCTTTAACTCCTGTTAATTATTTGCTAGTGTTGGATCTTTGATACCTATCAACCTGCTGATGGCCAGCACTTTCGTGGAATGAAGCTTCAACACAAAGTAGGTAGTGCCCAAGGGCGGCCTACACCCTATAACGTCTACACCCCAATTACCCCGGAACCCTAAACCTTAAACCATAAACCTTGAACCCTAAGCCCAAAACCCTAAACTCGTTATTACCCCCCAAACCCTGCAACCCAAAGCCTCACAAGTCCTGAAAAGCTTCCCTGCCCTGCCTCAAGAACGTCTGCTTTGTACTGTCATGACACAACATTTGGATATGGGTAGGTTTCTAAATAATTGGGGTTCCTTTTAGGGTCCTGATAATAGAGGGGCCGTACTATACTGGGGACTTTTAAAAAGGACACTATTTTAGAGAACCACCCATATAGCAAGTAAAAACAATGACCCGCGCTTGCTGCTGATTGCTCGCTGGCCTCTCCAGAAACTCCATCGAAACAACATTCTTCGAGCAAACGCACTCCGATTAACGCACAGACATCAGCTGGACCTGCAAATCGAAACAACCCCGATCAAGGAACGGAGCTGCAGAACGTGCCAAGCAAACGAAACCGACAAGCTTGCCCACAGCCGGTGTCAAGATAGCAGGACACAGTGCATCCTACAACCCCCACACGAGTAACACGTAACAGACGGAGCTGTGCAGAGTGACAACAATGGCACCCTGGCTTTTTGATTACGGCTTATAGTATAGCGGAACTTCAAGATCATGTTCATCCTCAATTCGGGTACCTTTTCACCGCAATTTCTGCAGTGACCATCGAAGCAGCTCTACGCATCACTTGTTGTTCAAGTGACACGGCTAAAAGTCGCGCTAGGGCTTCCTGGCTTCTTGACAGGACACATAGAGGGCTAACGGCCTTGCTGAAATATGACAGGCATTGAAAGGCTTTGAATCTGAACATTTTCGAGTTTTGGATTTTCTTTGTCGAGACTCGATAGCACATGTTCATGAATAGAATCCCAAAGCCCTAAACCCTCTAGAAAGGACCCGAGGTACAAGCTGGCATTACATATTGTAACATCGGAGAGCATGCGACATATCGCTGCGGGCCGGGCCACTCAGCAGCTTCAAACAAGCGAGTGCATCACATCTCCCCTAGAGCACGTACAACTATCTAGCACCTCTACTGACTTTGGAATCAGCTTCAATAGAAACCAAGACTAAATCACAACTGCCAGCGACTGTATTAGTTTCATAACTTGGCACACCAAGACAACTAGTTGGTGCAAGCCTGCATAACGAAATGTAAACCTTGCACAGCTTTTCAGCCTTGAGGTTAAACCCGCCGCACTCACCCGGAAGTGAGGATAACGGCGTAGGATAAGGGTTGAAGAAATCGAAACTTCGGTTTAGGGATGCCCAAAAATCTCAAACCTGACGCCCAACTGCTAAAAGCTGAACTGCAGCAGCCAAAAATCCCAGGGACAATTTGTAAGCTAGCCCAGCAAACAAAATAAGATCATCCGAGAAAGAGGCCCTGAACAAGCCCTTAATGCGGGTACCTATGCTCCATACAATTATGCAATGCTGCTCAAACCGTATGCCCGATTGCCCGTTCAATCTGGGGTTTTCAGGATCTAACATGCCGGGTTTTAGGACACCTCAGCTATCCCTCCTTTGGAGAAAGTCTTTCGCCTTTCGAGCAGCTCATCTCCAGGCCGCGGCTGCAGCGCAGCCAAAACGACCCGTGGGTAAGGGCGGCCTGAGGGTTAGGGGCTTTAGAGTTTAGGGGCTTTAGGGTTTAGGGCTTAGGGTATGGGGTTTAGGGCGGCCTGAATCCCGCTTGCGCTATGAGTTTTCTCGTTCAAAGGCCCTTCTCCACTACTGGCTTATGGCTTAGGATTCAGCCAGGTAAGATGCGGGGTTGGGGCGTAACGTCTAGGGAATTCTAGTGGTAGACGGCAGTAATAGCGGTAGTAGTAGGGGTGGTTGTCGTAGTGGTAGGACGGACAGTTCTTCGCTAGTGCCGGTAGCGTCAAACAGCACCTTTCATGTCGTCTGTAGCACTGCCTAACAACCACCTCTCCTAGTAAAACTACCACTACCACCGTGACTACAATGATCGCTTTGGTCGTCATGCGCATGTTCATAATCGAAAGCATCGTCACCATCATGATCACCACCACCACCGTCCTCCTACACATCATCACCATCATGATAATCAGCAATATCATGAACCATCATGTTCTGCTTGTTCTTCTTCTTATTCACTTCACAATCATCTTCAGCATCTTCATCATCATATATTCATCATCATCACCACCATCATGAAGCATCATTTTTCTTCGTCTTCATTATCACCAGCAACATCTTTATCATCATCATGATCATGGTCATGATGATGACCATCATCAACCAAAATGTTTTTATTCTGCATTGTCATCTTCAGCATCTTCATCATCGGCTTCTTCTTCGTCTTCAGCATCGCACCAAGAATTCCAGCTACGAGCCTAGCCGAAGCACTCCACCAGCCACCCGATCAATCCTTTGAAAAAATATGCCATCCCAGCATGCTCACGACTGACCAGGTTGCTACTCCGTTTCTCACGATTTGAAGTCGGAACCTACCGCGCGGGAACACAAGACCATCTCATGTCTGCTTGCAGGCTCGGCACAGCCGACACCATTGCTTTGCTGCAGTGTCAAAGCGCTCCACACTCGCCTCAGGGCTCAGGACTGGGCGATGGTGGCGGTGCGGACGATGCTAACTTCGACTTACTTCGACTAAGTGGGCCATGAAGATGACCCGCATGATGCACTTCTAAATTTACCATGATGCTGACGTTGCACCGACAAGTTTGACCATGACCGTCATCATGATCTTGACTGTGGAGGCCCGAAAACCTAGTACCACGACGACAAGGATGATCATGTTGCTGATGATGTTGTTAACACTGATGTCGTGCTGAGGCAGGTGCTGATTCTGATGGCGATGATTACCATAATGACGATGGACCTGGTAACACTGATGACGGTGCAGATAGCATGTTCGAAATTATTGATGAGGGGGTGAGTCATGCTGCTGGTGGCGGCGATGACTGGCTATGACCTTACACAACATGATCTCGAGTTCAAGCACACTTCACAGCTTTCAGCAATATGCACTTGCCAGGGTTCAGGAAATGGATCTGGACTTTCCAACTTCGAACCCGTCATAGAACCTACCTGGCACAGCGAGCTCTACCGACCCATTTTCTCAGAGACTCCAAAACCCGTTACGGCATAAACCTTAAACTGTTATGGGAACCCTAATGAGATGTGAGGTTTCTTCCTTAATTCAGGGGTTTTGGAGTCTTTGGGTAACAACATGACCTCACGGGACCCTCTGAACCCCTAGACCCTAAACCCCCTAAACCCCAAACCCCACAAGGAAGCCGAAGTCTTGCATTTAAGCCGTGACATGGGTGAATTCCCTTAATATCCTTTAATGTAGAGGCCAAAATAATTGGAATCGGGTTTCACATGGTTCCTTTAACCGGCTCTATAAGGGCTACTATCAGAGTTTAGGGTTTAGGGGACTTGATAATTAGAATAGGGTTTCGGGCTCCTTCATAGCACTAAGGAATAATATTGGTTGTTATTGGGGCTTCTATATTCACAGGTAGTGGGACAGGACCGCCATTATATGACCTAACGAAGTTCACACATAACTCTCAAAGCTTTAAGCAGAACCCGACTCCTCACCCGCAAAATCCAAACCCTGTAAAACTAGGATTAAGATGCCAATTCCCGAAGCCTCGCGTCCAACCTCTAAGCGTAGAGGATTTAGGGCTTAGAGCAACAAGCCCCGAACCCTAATGAAACTCGCTACCTGAACCCATACTCCGACCGACTCAGTCCCCAGATTGTTTAGGTAATATAGGGTTCAGGGTTTGTCAAATGAGGGCTTAGGGTTAAGGGTTTAGGGTTCAGGGTTTGTTATATGAGGGTTTAGAGTGAAGGGTTTAGGGTTCAGGGTTTAGGGCTTGTTTTTTTGGGGTTTCGCAGCCTTCCAGCCCTGTGACCGTGCTGGCTCCTAGGGTGAGTCCCTTGCCAGGGATTGTCCATCGTCACCGCCGACGATGTACAAAGCCCCTGGGGTCAAAACCACTGTTGTTTATGGCCTGGGTTCAGGGATGGGTTTGGAGTCAGACTGTAGCGTTTTCTTCACCTAGTGTCACGAGTAGTAAGAACTGTCAAACACTGCGCATCGCATCAGGACGTGGACAGTGAGAAACACTGACATGACTGCAACAGGCGCATCGTGAGAATTATGTTTTAAACGTCGTCCTTGATAAAAGCTTTGGAAACTACTGCTTCGTGATGTAAAAAGCATGACCTGCAGTAGTTTCAAGCTCGCCATCGGGGAAGTCATTTCAAAAATCGAGGGTCCCAGTGGGTACAGTACCGGGTATGAAAAACATCAGCGCTCTTCTCCCAATTGCTGCTCCTGACATTGCTGATGTGGCGGCGAGGATTCTTGTCATTGTGGTGAGCATGTGTGTGAGAATACGCGTTGGCGGATTGTAGCTACTGCCATTGTCGCCACTCACGCTGGCATCATCGCTGTTATCGTCCGGCGGCAAATCAGGACAGTAAAGGCAACATCAAGAGCAAGAGCAACGACAACAGCAACCGCAACAGCATACAACAGCAACAACAACAGCAGCAGCAACAACAGCAGCAGCAACAACAACAGCAACTGCAGCAGCAGCAGCGGCAGGCAACAACAACAACAACACCAGCAGCAACAGCAGCAACGTCAGCAGCAGCAACAGCAACAGCAGCAGCGGCAACAGCAACGGCAACGGTAACAGCAACAGCGCTTGGCTGTCTAGTTCTACAGCTGGACGGCGTGTAACGTGTTTCCAGCGTTGCCCATCATTCGCGCGCTCGATAGCAAGTCGCAAACGAATGTTACGGTTTTCTGCCGTTTGCAGGATTTGCAGGAGCATGAAGCCAACTGAGGAAAGGATCTTGAACCTGAACTGGGTTGTAGTTTCGGGCCCCCCAAAATTATTTATGGATGGGTACTTCTATAGGAACCATACGGGAAATTCAAAGTTTCCCAAAGTGCCACCTAGTGAATCTTGTCCTAAACCCCAAACCCTAAACCCTAAACTCTGTGAGTGGAACCCCGCGAAGCATTCCCTGGCAAAACGCGGACAAAGCAAATTGCAGAGTTTCATGGTGGAAGGACGATTAATGTAGGGGCCTTCATGATTCGAATAGGGTTTTGGGGCCCATTATACTAGAGTTATGGTAAGGAACTCCCCCAAAATAGTATCGGTAATTATTTAAGCCCCTATATTTTGCACTAGATGGATATTCCGAACCCTAAGCCGCTTAGCCGAAACCCCGAGCACAACTCCCCCAAACTCTAGACCTGAATTTGGGATAAAAGCTGGGTTCCGGCGTCTCCCAAAAAAACCCAATACCCCTTAATTAAGGAATATACCTTAAATTAAAGAGGCAAAAAAATTATGACAAACGGTGCATTGCATAGAAGGTTCTCTGCGCTTGTTATTGTTGCTGAAAGTGCGACCGGCTACGGATAAGGGCCTAGAGGCTTAGGGGTCGTTCTCATGCTCTCATTTTACTGGTCGAAATGGGCAAGCAAATCTCAAAATCTCACGATCCAGTGCCCCAATGCCGAAACCGGAAACTGAATGCCCTCAAGCTCAGACTCTGTACCTCGAAACCTTTCGTGTATACATATGGGACCCTACGCGCTTAAATGCGGAAGAATCCATTCCCAAAGTCATGAAGAGCATCCCAACCCTCGTAATCTCCTGTAAGCCGATGCTTCACCACAGGCATTCTAAGCCTGACGCCCTAAAGTGCTTAACTCACAAGGCCACAGCAGCCCCAACCCTCATCAAACCCTAGGTTTAGATTTTAGGGTTCATAAGCTGAACAAGTGTGAAACACGAAGCCCTAAACGGCCCTAGACATCCATGAGGGTGTCTCTCTAAATTCGGATTCCTTTTCCGGTCCCCAAAATACTACGGCGCCCCTAGAAAAAAAAGGACCCAAACAGGGCACGTTTGGAGAACTATCCATGACTCTTTGCCTGCCGCGGCAGTGGCGGCTGCACCGTGTCTTGGTGTGGGCGCAGGCGGCAGGGAGTCCCAGCGAGCTGCGTAGGATTGAGGGTATACCTGTAGTCTCCATTGTACTTCCTTTTTTTGTGGTTTAACCAATTATATATTAAGGATTCTATAAGGTATCACCAAAAAAGAACTACAATGGAGACTATAGGTAGGGTTTAGGGAAAGGTTCCCCAGGCACCCCAAACTACGCAAACTACGCCTTTAGCGTGTAGGATTTCCTTGATTTGCCAAACCCTAAACCTTACGATGCCGGAGACTCCAAAAACCCATAATGGAGGACCCTAGCTGCTAAGCTTGAGTCATACGAGTGCTGCGGGTCCTTCCATAATTCGAAGTACAGTACTGCAACGGCTTAAGTAAGGGGTTTTGGAGCCAGTATAGCTCGTGAGTTAAGGGCCTCCAGCATCTCGTCGTGGAACTTTCGAAACTCTGCACCGAACTCTGTGTCGTGGTAATACTTCTGTACCAGCTCTTTCGGAAACGTAGGAATAGGCAACTCACCGAGCGCCTGCAGCTGTTTGACAAGGTTTTAAGATATCTCTGAGTCTTGTCACACCATGCAGCAGGACTGACTATGAGTGACCAAATCCCATTCTTCTTTCGCCTGTTTCTTGGCGAGCTGATGGAATGTGGGACACGGTGGGGAATCCTCCTTGGTGGGCATTTTCTCCGGCAGGCGGCTGAATCCATCCACCTTGAAGGTGCCCTCACGATGGCGATTGATGAGGAATTCCGACAGGGTGCGTCTTCAGCCAGTCAGCATGATTGTTGTCGACTTCAAGGGGCTTATCGAATCTCAGACAGACTTAGGTGAATTCAGCCGGCTAGGGTTTAGGGTTTAGGGCTTCCCGCGAGGTTTCAATTTAAGATATGGGCTTTAGGGTTACAGGGATGGGGTTGAGGAGCCCTCAACCCTAAACCCCCAACCCTTACCCGGAATGGGGGTTTCCTGGGTCGGGACAGTCTTTGGGGATCTTTTTCTAATTCGGCAAGTTGGCTTCCGTGGGGTTTCGGCCTTTATATTGATTAGCTGGGCTAGGTATGGGTTCTAGTGGCGGAGACTTGCCAGAATCCCTGAACCATGTTGAACAAATATCAAACTTTCAAACATAACATATTGGAGAACCATATGTTTTCCCCAATATGTTTGGAACCCTCCATTCAACCCCAAAACGTCGCAAACCTCAAGCCCCCAACCTCACAATGGCCCTACGGCATGAAGCATGCTTAGGGTTTAGGGCTCAGGGTTTAGGGTTTAGGGGTTTAGGGTTTCGGGCTCAGGGTTTAGGGTTCCCCAAAAGTGAGCTCTCGGCTCGAAAGTCAAAAAACGCCGGTTGTTACTATGAGCGGTACGTGTAGGAGTTGTAGGAGCCTCAGGAATCAGAAGAGAGCTCCCCTTAGCCCAAGGGCTAGGTGCCAGTGTGGGGTTTAGGGTTCAAGGTTAAGGGGTTGAGAGTTTAGGGTGTAAGGTTTATGGGCGGAAGGTTTATTGTTTAAGGGTTTAGGTTTAGGCATCCTTGCGTATTCACTTCCGATGGGTATGAAAAGGGCAGAGTACTACGAGTCATTCCGGCCCCGATAATACCAGGGTCTCAGACACCTTTACAATTGGTGGAAACTAAACCCTAAAGCGCAATCCTAAGCCCGAAACCCAAAACTACAATCCGCCCTGGAGAACAACTTGTCATGGACAAGCGTCGTGGACAAGCTGCTGTAAGCAAAGCATGTCGAACAACAGCAGAACAGCCCTTAGGCCATAAAGCTTGCACCTTGAAGCCTACAATCACTCAACACAAACCCACAAACGCAGAACAATCCTAGGAAACCCTAAACCCACAAACGCCCTACCCACCCTAACACTACATCCATCAGCAACCTGAAGCGTTAACCCAAGCCTTAAACCCTAAATTCCCTAAATCTTAAATGCCAAGGCCCGAGACCCTAAACCCCATCCAGAAATCAGCAACTTCCCCAGAGAACCCAATACCCCCTTAATTAAAGAATAGACCTTAAATTATTCTATCCCAGAAAACGCTTGCAAATATTTCTATAATATATTCAAAAGAATCAATCAAAAATCATAGCAATATCACTCGAACTCCGATGCTCTTTTTTCACCAAGTGGGGAAAGGTCCTGCGCGCTGTAGGTCACCCATATCAAGCCGCGCAAGGCACCACATCCCACGAAAGTGAGCCGGCATCGAGGATTATTGCAGGATCAATCTTCTCGAATCGCAACCTGCTAGGAGCATCTGCTGGGTTGCTAGCAGAAGGAACACGAGAGAACCAGCATCGTAATTGCAGAGATTCCTCCAGGCCTCTCACGGCTTCGGTGATGCCTTCAGCGATTGCAGTCGCAGCACCAGACCTTATGAGTGCAGACTTGGCAGACTCGTTATCAAGGTAGGCTACGATTTGGCCTTGTCGCAAGACTTTGCCCCAAGCTCTGAAAGCCTGAAGTACTGGCAGCAACTCAAGCTCGTATATGGGATTCTTGGAAGAGGACAACATCTTGTCCATGAGCGCGCGTGGTACCGTGGAGCCAAACGCTCCCACCGCGCTGCCTGCTTCATCATAAAGGATTGCTCCCACTCCCCCAGACCCGTTCTCAAAGGCCCCATCTGTGAAGAGGTACCACGTCCTACTGGATTTGAGACCGATGACCAAGGGCACTGCGGAGTCCAGCCTTGACTTCAAGATGCCAATCGCTTTCACTGCTTCAGCAGACAAGCAACGCCTCAAAGAACCGGATCTAGCCTCGTTGTCGAGAAGCTTCAGCGCCTGATTGGGTCC